TGACCTTCTTCCCTGAGGCAATATGTACCCTCATTTCCACCCCAACCCACCCCTGTACCACCCCCACCCCTGTACCCCACACCTACTCCCAAAATCAGACAGATCAGTGCTAGGTCGTGTGTATAAAAAAAAAAAAACGTATGTATGAGTCTAGTTCCAATTCCTCTTCAGTACATTATGGTCGAGTCTGAGATAGTTACTCAATTTTTTTGACAGCGAGGAGAATCGTTTCTTCCATTCACAAGATTGGGGTTGTGTATAAGTTATGCGACAAGTAATACAGAAAGCTAGTATGTTTTTTTTTCTTAGAATATTTTTAGGAGTTGATTAATGTGAATTTTATTTTTTGTTAGTTAAGAAACTCTTAACAAGTATATTCTGTAGAGTTAACATACTATAGACCTACTGTTCTTTAAAAACTCAAAACAAGTAGATTCTATACAGTTAAGATATGGACCTAATGTTGTTTCAAAACTCCAAACAAGCAGATTCTATACAGTTAAGATATGGACCTAATGTTGTTTAAAAAAAACAAGTAGATTCTATACAGTTAACATGTAGACCTAATGTGGTCAGTAACCCACCTCTTGTTTTATATATATTTGAAGAATGGCTAAAGTTAAAACAGCAATGGTTGTGAGGTTTTATGTGATTTTATTTACATATTTCCGGTTGTCAGACATTAAGTTTCATTATATTGCGATTATAGAAAACTTATTTCTCAGCATTTGATGTAGCCCCTGTCCTGTATATATACGTTTATATATATATATATATATATATATATATATATATATATATATATATATATATATATATATATATATATATATGTATAGTTAGCATTCATCAGTCATTAATGTAAATTATCAAATTCCATTTCCGCCCAACATTAAGAGACCTAATATCAGACTTTAAATGATTCATTAGTTATCTTTAAACACCGATCAAAACTTGGGCGATAAAAAATTGAAACTTTATCTTCGACTGGCCGAGAATCGATCCCGAACTTGTCCTGCATTTCTACGGCTCCGCCAAGTTGTGATTAAATATTGATCGGCCATTAGGATCAGAGGGCGTGAGGTTTTGTGAACCTTTTCAAATGTTGCATTGCTTGAAGATGCTGTAGAAATTATTTATCTCGCAAATGTTCAATCCTTGAAGACGCTATAGAAATTATCTATCTCGCAAATGTTCTATGCTTGAAGATGCTGTAGAAATTATTTATCTCGCAGTATTTTTTTCTATAGCGCGCATGTAGAGAAGAAGATTAACGTCACAGCGCATGCGGGTTTGGATATTTTTGGTATTTGTTGATGTATTTATAGTTTTACATTATGCTAGTAGTGGGCAGTAAAGTGGCTGCTAAAATGCTTGTTTTTCTTTGGGTTTTTCTTCATGCATTAAAGAATTAAATCTATGCATCATCGATTCGCCATACCGTTATATTCGTATAGTTGTTTTTTCCTTAACGGTTCGTAGGGTTGGTTTAAGCAATAAGGTCATATGCAGTTAAAAGACTATGAGTAGATTTTGGGTAAGAGCGCAAATATTGGGTTAAAGGTTAAGCAAGATAATCCGTTTAAATTTCTTTTAGGTATAGGTATATTTATATATGTATATATATATATATATATATATATATATATATATATATATATAATATATATATATATAATATATATATATATATATATATATATATATATATATATATATATATATACATATATATATATATATATATATATATATATATATATATATATATACTAACCAAATAATGTTAAAAAAGCAACAACAACTACACATGTTGTAGTACCATCAGTTTCTCGAACCGTCTACCAACATTATCAGGCTTCCTCTCGTTTCTTTGCATTGAATTTAAAAAAGGGAGGCAACTCAGCGAAGTCGATTTGTTTGAATTATCGGCCCTGGTGACGCTTAACGATCGGTAAGCAATGAAGACGGGTGCCGCCCCCCGGAAGTGTAGGTGGCGAAGTGTGGCCATTCACTGATTCAGCAGAGACGGATGGCTCCAGTCTCGGCTTAAGTAAGCAGCCTGACTTTCCTGGGTCAATGACGTCACGAACCCTCGTCTGAATAAAAAAGTTGTCTTCGGTAACGAAATTTAATATTAACATTGATGTTCGACTAACCTAAGAGGTTGGGACGCTGAATTGTACACATGTAATAGGCATATGCAAGACGATACTAATTATATTTTAATTTTATTATAATTCTTATTCAGTGGATATAATGCAAACACCATATGTGAAAAATTAATCCAATGTATGTAATGTTAATCAAATGGAGGCAAATAGTCGCAAGCAGATCCATTTTCGCCTGTCGTGTTTAATTCTCTTTATTAAAAGACACAAAAACACACTAATACATCGTTTTCTCAGTTTTTATTTGTAGATGTATTAATTATGCATTTTTTAATATACTTTCGCATTTTGTATATGCGGATGTATAAGCTATGCATGAATTATTAGCAAAAAAATCGATTGGTTTTGAATAGCTAATTCATAATGTTTGAAATGAATGAATGAATTTTGAACATACAGCAGTATAAAAACATTTGGGTTGTTTACTAGTTTGCTAATACACTGAAATTCAAAGTAACCAATGATGGCAGACTCCTAGTAAATGGAATTAAACGCTATTTACATTCATTCCCCTTGGTATGTAAATAATTGATTCCGTTTTCGATTTTCATTTTATAAACGTGTATAATTTTAAAATAATTTTTATAAAAAAAATTCTGGTGTCTTTATGTGCCGTGGTTATGACCTCTACTACATTTATAATTATAATATGAAGTCAGACCTACTTTCTGGCACAGAATGACGTCAATCCTACTCAATGACATCACCGGAAATTAACCAAGAATTGGGTACAGTTTGCCTATGTTATTTCGAGCTCAGCTCTATTTCATTTTTATCTACTTGCGTAAATATTCGGTCGATTCGGAGACGACATTGATATGCAGATATCCGAATAGAGCCGGCGACTACTGGGATGGAGTCTTTATTCCAACTGAGGGGTTGCCAATCGCTGGACATTTATAAAAAAATCGGTTATACGGTCTCATGGGGCATTGAATCGCTAAGTTACGGGATTTGTTAAATCGTGTGTAAGAAGATGTTGACTTGTTAAGTTTTGGGATGTTAAGTTTTGGGATGTTAAGATTTGGGATGTTAGGTTTTGAGATGTTATGTTTTTGGATGTTAAGTTTTGGGATGTTAAATTTTGGGATGTTAAGTTTTGGGATGTTAAGTTTTGGGATGTTAAGTTTTGGGATGTTAAGTTTCGGGATGGTAGATGTTGAATTTAGGATGAATGTTGAAGCTAAGTTTCCAGATAGTTGTTGACTTGGTTTCGGAATAGGCCTACATTGTTGACTTGTTAATATTTGTGATTGCTACCGATTTGTTAATTTGTGGGATCTATTTGAAATTGTACAAGGGGTTGCTTACTCGTTAATTTTGATATCTGTTTTTTATCGTTTTTAGTTTTGAGATCCGCTTCTTGTTTTTAATGTTGATTGAGGTCTAGTAAGATAGTGGATTATAACGTAATTTGTATTTTATCCTAAGGAAAGTTATACATTGATTACATTAATTAATTAATAAAGCTGATGTTATGCTTTCTAAGAGGGAGATAGAGTAGAGTAGAGTGGGGGTATAGAGTGAATTAGAACAATGCCCGTAAGTGCAATGTTGTGATTGTTATTCTAAATTATAACATATGACCTTCTTTAATTTAATTTTTAAAAAATTGAAGTAAAAATCGATATAGTACAACATCAGATTCGAATCTATACTTTCTTGCTTCGTAAGCCAAAAAAAAAAAAAAACAACAAATACGCTCACACGTGATTGCACGTGATTTTGGCTGAGTCACGTAGCATACCGTTCCCCGCATAACCAATCAGAGCTGCGGCTATAAAAGAAAAGCTCGGGTTCTCTCCCCTTCCCCGGCGGCTCTCGACCCTCACAAATGGGACGTCACAAATGTATTGATGCGCTCAAGTACGTACGCGCTTGAGTTGGAAATAATTTACACCCCATCAACTTCGGTAAATGGCCGTAAAGCTGGCTGCTCTCCCCTTGCGGTCTTTTCTTGAGGGAAACGTCATCAATGATACATTTCTTTGCTTGGTCATTATATATATATATATATATATATATATATATATATATATATATATATATACTTGCGTTATTTTTCATTATAATAATTTGATTCAGACAATACCTTTTGATATTTAAATTGACAACGTTTGAAACTAAGAATTGACTTGGCTTCATTCAACAAAGCTCTGCCACATCATGTAGATTTTACATGCTTAGGACACATCCTTCGCTTGGCAGTAGATCTATATAAAGATGGAAAACTTTGACGTTTTAAAATGTCGCTCATTTCGAATACTACAGGCCTGTTGTTTTCATGAGCTACAGAAGTTACGACCACATTTGGCCTTTTGTTCCAATACTCGATCTGTTGTTTGCATGACTAGTTGTGTCTATATTGATTTCTTGTGTCTATAATTGACGCCCAGTGTCTAAAATTGATCTCTTGTGTCTTTATAATTGACCTGTTGTGACTATAATTCACAACTAGGTGTCTTTAATTTACCCCTTGTGTCTATAAATGAACTCCCATTTTTTTAATTGACCTTTTGTGTTTATAATTGACATCTTGTGTCTATAAATGACCTCTTATTTTTTAATTCACCTCTTGTCTATAACTGACCTCTTAAGTCTGTAGCTGACCTCTTGTGGTTTCAGTTGACCTATTATGTCTATAATTGACCTCTTGTGTCTATAATTGACCTATTGACCTCTTATGTCTATAATTGACCTCTTGTGCCTATAATTGACCCAGTGACCTCTTCTATCTATAAGTAAACTCTTGTGTCTATAATTGAACTCTTGTGTCTATAATTGAACTCTTGTGTCTATAATTGACCTATTGACCTCTTGTGTCCACAGTGACCGAAACTGTCATGTCCATCACCTATGAGCCAATGGAACGCCGACCCAGGACGGCCAATGACGACATGGAGGATCACAGCGGAAGTGACGACACGGACGGCGGAGACTCAGACAGCTCCTGCGGTAGGTCATCGATCTCTCCACGCATGATTGGTTCTGTGGTATAAAAACCTGTGTTGTTTCAAGGGCGATAACTTTCATAGAAGTGTTGCTTGACTTTTTTGTGTGTGAAAGCTGGTATGGGACTTTATTTTCCACATTTATAGACAAGAAGGTTAACATGTTTTTGTAATTTAGCTTTCTTTATATAACACTTGTGCTTATGGATATATATTTCGTATGAACCTAAATTGCTAGGGAAAAATTGATCTTCAAAGCTAGAGCTGTGGTTGTTTATCTTTGCTAATTCGATGTTGTATTTTAAAAGTAAATTTATACTTAAATTCTGGATGAATTTTAGAGGCTAAGAAAAAAAACAATAGCATTTTACTTTTAAAATATATACTAAAGCTTAATAATTACGTATAAGTAGAAAATATAACTTAAAATATATAATTATTTTTTTACTCTGAGGAGATTTTTTTTGCACACATAGTACCCTTGGCTATAAATGAAGTATTACTTAATTTTAAAAAATGCAAATTGTAATTGTTTTTTTTTTATCAGAAATTAAATGGTATTTGAAATAATTCTTCCCGTAAAAATATACTTTAACAAATCGGCTCTTTTTGGAGCAGTTCCGATACACTAATTAAAATGTATTAATAGTTTAAGATAATATTTTAAAAAGCAAAGGATATTTTTTTAATCCTACAGAACTCCTGAACCTGCCGACGAGCAGACTGTGGTATTATATTATAAGAGAACCTAACATGAGATTGTGCAGTATAATTGTATATTGTCATAAAGATGCACAGATTATAATGCCACTGAGTATTTTGTTATAAACAAAACTGGTGATTTTGGCTGAATTAGGGTGTTACAATATATTAATAGTTACCTAGCAAAAGGTGTTATTAACGTGCAGTAGCGTAGCGAGGGGGGGGGGGGCGGGAGGGGGGGGGGCGGGGGGGGGACATATGTCCCCGGGCGCCGAGCTTAGGGGGCGCCAAAATGGGTTGGAAAAATAAATTGAAAGGTTGAGGGGGGGGGGGTGCAAATTGAAAGTTTGAGGGGGGTGCAAATCAAAATCTCGAGGTGGGGGTGCAAATCGAAAGTTTGAGGGGGGGGGGGGTGCAAATAGAAATCTCGAGGGGGGGTGCAAATCGAAAAGTTTGTCCCCGGGCGCCGGGAAGGGTCGCTACGCCTCTGTTAACGTGTAGGTGTACTAGTGATTTTGGCTGAATTAGGGTGTCACAATATACTGATAATTGCCTAGCAAAAGGTGTTATTAACATCTAGGTGTACTAGTGATTTTGACTGAATTAGGGTGTCACAATATACTGATAATTACCTAGGAAAGGTGTTATTAACATCTAGGTGTACTAGTGATTTTGACTGAATTAGGGTGTCACAATATACTGATAATTACCTAGGAAAGGTGTTAACATTTCGGTGTACTGGTGATACTGGCTGATTGAGGGTGTTATGATACACTGATAATTAAATAGGTACGGTGTTAACATTTAGGTGTAGGGCTACTGGTGATACTGGCTGATTGAGGGTGTTATGATACACTGATAATTACCTAGGAACGGTGTTAACATTTAGGTGTAGGGCTACTGGTGATACTGGCTGATTGAGGGTGTTATGATACACTGATAATTAAATAGGTACGGCGTTACCTTATATTTCTATAATGTGGTGTGATATTTTCACAAAGCTCAAGTTTGGGTGGAATTTCTCACATATACTGGTAAACTTTACTTTGAACTAGCTAAGATATAAGAGCAGGCCGATGAAGCAATACTTTTTATATCTAAGAATACTTAAATTTGTTTGTTTTGGGCCTTTTTACACCCACTCATCTGAAGCCCCCCCCCCCTCCCCTTCATTTATTTCCCAATTGCTATTCATCTGTCGTTATAACTTCAGTTATCTGCCCCTACTACGCCCCCATCCCCATCACCTCTATCGTGTCATCAGCCGGTATAGACAGGATTATTTTCTTTTATTTCTTCATCTTTTCATTCTCTTCATCTATTCGCGTCTTGTTATAGCGAGCATTCATGTCCTTACATACCACATTCTCTATCTGTCTTGAGATCGATTCACCCGTATATCCATCTATGTCTTTGTCTTGTGTCTTTTTTTCTCTTTGTCTTGTGTCTTTTTTCTTCATCTATGTCTTGTGGCCATTTTGTTTTCATCTGTCTTGTTTATGTTTTTTTCGTCTGTCTTATGTCTGTTTTTCTTCATCTATGTTTTTTTCATTCATCTATGTCTTGTATCCGTTTTTTTTTATTCATCTATGTCTTGTGTCTGTTTTTTTTTTATTCATCTATGTCTAGTGTCTGTTTTTTTATTCATCTATGTCTTGTGTCTGTTTTTTTATTCATCTATGTCTAGTGTCTGTTTCTTTCATCTATGTCTTGTGTCTGTTTCTTTCATCTATGTCTTGTATCTGTTTTTTTATTCATCTATGTCTAGTGTCTGTTTTTTTTATTCATCTATGTCTTGTATCTGTTTCTTTCATCTGTCTTGTGTCTGTTTCTTTCATCTACGTCTTGCGTCTGTTTTTACCCTGATTTACCCCCATGGCAAGAGGCTCATGGCGGTAGTGTTGGTGGTGATGGAGTGGAAGGGAGGATTGTGTACTTGAACACTATGCAGATCGTCGTGGTTTGAATGTTAAAGATGGCTAGAACACCTACCCCGCCCCATAAAAAAAAACAACAAACAAAAAAATCACCTTACAGAAAGATCTCATTTGAATTCCTGCAGCAATTGTCGGGTTACCTTGCGATGTCGTCGTATTTTCCAGTTCGTGCCCAAGACAAACGGGGCAGATATATGGGGATAGTGTGATTAGACCTATTCCTCGCCACCTTTAGTTTCCCTAATGTGAGCCAAGCATCTGTCAAAGTTGAATGGACCCAGGGACGTCCTACACTCTCCAGCCATGGTTCCGAACTCGAGACTTTCGGTTTAGCAGTTGTAAGCTCTACCGTCTGACCACGCCGTCCAGAAATATAAAATTATAAAGATGGCTCCAGACGTTTTAATCCTCCATCTGTTAGGCGATTGAAACAATCAGAGAATTGCAGAAACGTGGTCAGCTTGACCTTCTCTTAGGCTAGCATTTGCTCGAGGCTAGAACCACAGTTTCTTTCAGGCAGCTCTTCGCCCCTCCCCCCCCCCCCCCAACCCCTCGAAGAAAGTCTACCGCCCCCCCCCCCCCAAACGAAATGGAATTTATATAGAAAATATATACTTTTAACAGTGTCCGCCCCACCGAAAATTTTAATCCGCCCCCCCCCCCGAAACTTTCAAGTGCCCCCCCCCCCCCACACCCCCCGGGAAAAAAAGTCTGGAAGAAACACTGGTGAGAACGAACTCCCAAATTCCATATTCTCAGTAACTACTGTGTCGTTATAAAGGGGCGGTATATAATATCAACAAGGACCTAATGAATAGCTAATACATCGAACAATTGTCAGAATATAAAGATGAGACGAAAATACAATTATACATTTTTTTTTTCATTCAGTTTTTAAAAATTGCCTCACGCATGTAATTTATAGCGTCTGTTTGACTTGTCTTGCTCGCTTTAGGGATCGTCCATAAATGACGTTACACTCGTAAGGGGGATGGGGTCTGTAATTTTGTGAGGGTGTGTGATGAGGGGGATGGGGGGGGGGGGGTTCAGATGGTGTGACGTCACACTTTTCCATTATAAAAAAGCAATGTTAGAAAACAAGATTTAGCCTTTAATTCGCGTTTCAAAAAATGGTTTAAATAAATTTTAATAGGAATTGATCAAAATACTCTGTGTTGACAGAGTTCTGACAAGATTTTGAAAAAAATATCTATGTTTTAAGAAAAATTCAACAGCAATTTAGAGGGGGGGGGGGTGGTTGTAGGCTGAGGTGTGACGTCATTTTAGGGGTGGTCTGGCTTTTTGTGACGACATGTGAGGGAGTGGAGGGAGGGGGAGGTAAAAATCGTTCAAAAAAGCGTGACGTCATTTATGGCTGACCCCTTAGTATTATAGTGTTTTCATCAACGCCTTGAGAGGACTGATACAGACAGAGTTTCTTCCAGGCATCTTTTCGGGGGGGGGGGGGGTCGAAGCCCCCCCGAAAAATTTTTACCGCACCCCCGAATGAAATGAAATTTATATAATTTATATAGAAAATACATACTTTTAACAGTGTCCGCCCCCCCCCCCCCGAAGAAAGTCTACCGCCCCCCCCCCCTAAAATTTCAAGTGCCCCCCCCCCCCGGAGAAAAAAGTCTGGAAGAAACACTGGATACAGATTTACAATAATACTTCTTTCTGAAATGAACTTTCGTCAATTGAAAATAGTTTACTTATACATAATACAAAAAGTCTAATTTTTTTTTAAACCTGAAAATTTAACCATTCAATTAAATGATGATTCAATGTTACGTGGAGTGTAAGATAAAAAGTAAAGATAAAAAGTAAGATAGTTTTTTTCTGTGGGGTGGGTTGAAAGGTATGGGTTTAAAACTAAAGCTGAAATAAATTTGGGATTAAAAGAAAACATAATGTTATAATATAAGTCGCATCGATGATATGTAGAGTAAAATGAGACACCTCACAACAAACCTTACCTTTCAAAAGGCTATGACCACAGCAATAACCATACATTTATTTTTTTCTTTATATTGTTTATAAATTTTAATTCTTTTAATTAATACATATTTTAAATTAATGCTTTTATCTTTTGTTATTAATTAATGTTATCATTTTTAGTATCCTTTTAAAACAATCAGTGGGAAGCAGAAGTGAACATATTGAAAGTGGTTCTTAGAATTTATTATTGGAAGAGAAGCAATAAAACTTTGTTTATAATTTGTTTTTAATGCTAAGCAATAAATCAATTTAATGCATTTGCTTATTTTGTATCAATAGAAATTATAAAATGTTTTTTAGTATAGATAATAGTAAAAGCAAATAGCTGAATTAACAAAAATATAATTATATGAATCTTAAGATAATTGTTTGTCAATAGTCGGTTGTAAAGGAGAGTTAACTCCCCTACATTTTAACAAACTGCAAATGCTATTGCTGTTTGTAATTGCCACCATTTAAATATTATTATGAACTGTTTGAACATTGTTTTCCAAATTTTACTTTTTGAGCAGACGAGTTCGAGATCAGGGACCAGCAGTCAAGGAGGAGGAGGCAATCGGAGGAGTCGGGGGAGGAAGAGGACACAAGTCTGCTGTAAGGACATGGGCGTGGCGTGGTGGACAATGAGATGGTGGACATTGTCACGTGACGGTTAGGGGGTGGAGCTGAACATTTTGGTTGCGAGGACACGAGATATTTCTAACAGGAAAGATACCAGAATTTCCTTGTAGGAGAATATAGACATGTCAGTATCAGAAAACAAACCAGAATTTTTTTACAAGCAGATCTGTATTAGAAAAGATGCCAGACTTTGAGCAGACTGAACATTAAAGAACATGTCATATTGTTCTATGTCGTTAAAAACCAGAACATGTCAGTGCTTGTCACATATAAGTATTACAAGATATGCCAGTTTGGAGAACAATTTCTGTTTGCATACTGATTCACGGGGACTAAAAGACAACTCCAGGTCAACAAGTATTTGTGGTTCGAACTAATCTCCCCTGATCTGTTAGTCATTGAGTTATCTCTCTTGCAGTATGAACTGTGTCGGTGGTCGTTTTGACTTTCATTATTTCTTTAATAATTAATAGGTGATAAAAGATGTGTAGTTTTCATAACCGTGGATTTAATGACGTCTATATAAAATAACCTGTGGTGACTTTCACCAAACGTCAAACTGAAATAAATAAACTGTTCATTGTTTACACATCACACAATAACGATTAACAAATAATTTGTTTTGTTTGAACCTATAAATGTTTTACTACAAATTTTTAAAAAATAATTTGTTTATTGGTAAAATAGATTTTAAAAAAAATCAAAGCAGATTTATAACCTCAGCAGTTACCTCCCTTATAAAATTACAAAACAAATAAGAGAGGTAACGCTCAATATAGTTACTATGCGCTCAATATAGTTACTATGATTTATTACAGTAATACAAGATGATCATGTTAAAGAACGTAACATCTGCTTTTACGATATATATTAAAACTAACTTTATTAAACATTAATCATACAAAAAAAGAAATATAAAATTTAAATAAATTTAATATTCTAAATGTAAAATAAATCATGCACTTTAGTGGTAACTTCTATCTATAGTGGTTATTTCTATAAAAAAAACAGCTTAATCCAATATTGAATAGCTGCTAAAATTATTCGATGTTTTATCGGGCTACTCCACCAAACCTACATATTATTATTCGATTAGAAACTGTGTCGTGTATACAGTGCGTCTTCCAAATACAACATGTGTTTCCTACCACACTTTTTCACGGCGGGGGGAGGGGGGGAGGAGTTTAAAATTTTGGGGATCGGGTGGACACTTCCTAATAAAACAAAATGTCTATATATAATGTGATTTTTCTATTTCATCTGGGAGAAAGGTGGATGGGTGGGAGAGGCGGTGGACCTGCTCATAAGAAATACCTGAAAGAAACCATGTATACTTATACTTAAAAGTCACATTGCCTAATCAACAAGGACCTTGAAAAATCATGGCATAAGGAATGTTTGGATATATACATATACGCGTACATGTACATGATTATATATATATATATATATATATATATATATATATATATATATATATATATATATATATATATATATATATATATATATAAGATATATATATATAAGACCCCCCCCCCCTCCCCGTATTTGTAATTAATGTGTTTACGACCATGAGTTGAAGTAATCTAGGCCGTAGACAGTTAGCCAGTGCTGTCATGTAACCTTAATACGTCACGTTACTGTCATAACATTTCACTTGTTTTCCTTTCTTGGCCTGAATTCAGTTCCTCACACTTTCATGATGACGACTAATTACAGTAATTAAAATCTCATCGGGTCTAGACTGAGAATCAACATTGTCTCCTACGTCTGTAATCGATACCAACAAAATCGCTGACGGTTCCATCCTCTAATTAAACGTGGGCCAATCAAGATTTACATCCGGTTCCTAAAATAAACATTCTTTCCGGCCGAAATGAAATTTTTTTAAAGAATATTTTAGTTAGTCGAATTCTGTTTCATTCGGAAGTTGGGGTTGGATAGTATACATTTTTTTATATAAAATTAATGAACGGTTAAAAACTTGAGGAAGATCTATAAAAATACCAGATTTTTGTTTTATTTTGATAACGTGTACACAATTTATTAATATTAATGGTACCAATAAAATGGTTTTGTGTAAATTATAGATTTTATGTTAGATATGTATAATATTGTGCATATGTATATTTATATTTTATGTATTACTGAATATTATGAATGCTGATGTGATGTTACTAGTGACATTTCTCTGAGTGTAGATTGTGTGGATGAAGAGTTTCAGTGATGTGATTTGCAAGGACTCCGTCTATATTTTGATCTGTGTTGTTTTTAACCCTTGTCCAGTTATCCCCCTTTCAATGTGACAGAATAGGGCTTGTAAGTCTCGTTCTCTCTCACTGAAAATTGAAATCTCGTTAGCCAGGGAGAGATATACTAAATTTCTTGTTGTGAACTTTATTCCCTATTGATAACACACCGAAAAAAAACATGCGGCTATTTATTTGTTTCTAGGCCTCGCTTCAAGATTTTAAAATTCAAAAAGTACTCAAATTGCAATAATCTATATATATATATAATTCTCTTCTGGGAGTGTTAGAAAACAAGCTGTAAGCGCGCCGAGCAGTCCCCTCTTTTCCTCTCTAGGCATATCGCAACCACCCCCACACCCACATGGTCTGGTGAGCTGTAGTTCACGCTAAATGTTTACATCGTAGAGCCGGGTTTAGTGACGGCTATTAGGGGCAGATAATTTAGTTTAAAACTATTTTATACTTAGGGGAAGTAACTAAGTGGAGGCTGCTTTCACGGGGGGGGGGGGGGGGGGGGTAGGGGTTGGGGGAAAGGAGGGTTTTAGTGTTTTAAAGCAAATATTTTCAATGACAGCATTGGTACTGTCGAAGTAGAAAATAAAATAACTAAATAGCGGCGTATGATACGCGTATGATAACATAATTAAATAAAGTAAACAGTAGGCCAAGTTTATTTTAACTACAACTTGTTACTGATTTGAACAATTAATAGCAAACTGTACGCTTCTTTAAAAATATATTACACAATTTTACGTAGACTATATTTGTCTTGAAGCTAGCCTGCATATAGTAATCTATCATTACCATTGTTTACTGTTTTAAATAACAATTGCGAAAGTAACTGTTCAAATTGTTTTTTTATGATTTACTAAAAATATTCACATTGGTTTGAAAAATACTAGTTGACAATACGGAGATGAGAAGCTGGTGACATACTTACAAGCCCTATAATTTATTGTGAAACTTTAATTGAGTGCAGAATTAAAATTTAAATTTTTCTCTAAAAACAGCGTACACTTTTTTTAACCATCTTAGTTTTTAACTTGAGATTTTTGTTCTGAGATTAAAGTAGAACACTATAATACATTACCTCCTGTTATTCACAGTTTCAGCCTCGACCCTCCTAGCTCCCCCCCCCCCCCCCCATCCCCCCATCCCCACCATATAAACTTAAATACTAATCCGACTGTAAATGTTCATTACGTCGGAAATTTAATTAGCACAATTGTAACGGAGGCGGCTAATTCGAAAGCCTCGAGTTTCGAATCCAGATCCACCCAGCTCTGATGGGTACATAACGCATGTTAGGGTAAGTGAAGGAGGCTGGGCAAAGTGCTGACCACACTATCTCTTCATATGCCGAGCTCAAGAAACATTATGAACTCTACTTCATCTACCTAGTTGATTGCTAGGTCTAAAGATGACTCATCTTAACGGAGAGTTGACTTAAAATATGAATTGTCGAGTTTCTTCATGAAAAAAAAACAACAATATTCTGGGTACCGATACCACGATGGACGTTTTTTCAGTTATTGATCGGAAAAATTTTAGCCAGCGCGAGAAGTCCATCTCTAGAAAACCGTTCTGACATAGATCAAGTTACTGACGTTTTTCAAGTAATGTTTAAAAGGGCTATCGGGCGCCAAAATTAGCTACTTTCAGAGTGCGTTTTTCTCTGTGTGTGTGTGGGTTTGTTTGTGCAGGTGTGTGTGTGCGTCGATGTGTGTGGATGAGTCTTCAGATTTTAATATCCCATAATTTAAGAAAATAGTAGTTCCCCTTCAAGAGTAGTTTGCTTTTCGAGCGAAATTCAAAGATATAACTTTCTGACATTAATTATTGAAAATTTCTACAAAAAAAAAATTCAAAGATATGACTTTCTAACATTAGCTATCGACAAAAAATCTCAAAAAAAAAAAAAAAAAAAAAAAAAAAAAAAAAAAAAAAAAAAAAAAAAAAAAACCAATACTAGAGTTAGATTGATCTTGTATCAAGTTCATGGTTTTACACAAATTTGCCCACATGGAAAATTGTGGGGCGACGCCAATCAGAGTTTCTTCCAGGCATCTCTTCGGGGGGACAAAGCCCCCCCCGAAAATTTTTTTACCGCCCCCCCCCCCCCGAACAAAATGAAATTTTATATAATTTATATAGAAAATATATACTTTTAACAGTGTCGCCCCCCCCCCCCCCCCCCCCCCCCCCCGAAAAAAAGTTTACCCGCCCCCCCCCCCCCCGAAAATTTCAAGTGCCCCCCCCGGAGAAAAAAGTCTGGAAGAAACACTGACGCCAATCTGACAAGCATCAAACAGGGATAAAATTAAACAATAAATTGTCATTAAAAACATAAGACTCAGAAGTACACGTTTTTTAGCATTCATACTTTATTCAATGTACTTATCAACTCAGCATTAATTTCCTTAATGCTATCTAGATCTAGGTTTACCAAAATTAAAGGCCTGGTGGGGAAAGTGTTGTAGGCAGTGGTATGTCAGATGGACGCCCTCCTTATTCAGAATTTTGAATGCCATAAAACCTTTGCTGTTATATATATATATATATATATATATATATATATATATATATATATATATATATATATATATTAACATAAATGCATATATATATATATATATATATATATATATATATATAGAGAGAGAGAGAGAGAGAGAGAGAGAGAGATGATAAATATGATAAATATGCATATATATATATATATATATATATATATATATATATATATATATATATATATATATATATATATATATATATATATATATATATATATATTGGCGAATGTACGGGTGTTGGGAAGTTGTGGTCTAGAGCATCCCGTATAAACGCACAGAATAAATGGTTTCTAATGTTGCTACAGCTACTGGCGAAGATGCCCTCGTGTCGCTTTATGTCTT